GCCCTAATTAGGCTAACTTGCCAGTGGTTGCAATCAGAGACTCATGGGGACACCCTTCTTGGCAAGAACAAGCACATGACCCTGTGAGCCTCCCCAGACCAGCACAGCATTTATTATCTAAATTATCAAAAATGAAAATGCAAGCAAACCCTTGATTTTTAGATACTTCTCTCGGGGTCTGCTCTCCCTTCCTTCTCAGGAGGCCAAAGCTGCCAGTTTATGCTTTTATTGGTAATTACACTTTCTTGTTCTATTTCAGACACCAGAAAAATGTGCAGGGATTTCGTCCTCTGTGCAATTACACATAATGATGAAATGCAGTTCTATACTGCACTGCAGTTTTTGTTAAGGTTATTTATAATGGGGAAAGGCTAAATAGTTTTGAGTTCATTATCGTTAGAGAGGAAAAAAAAATGGAGGCGACCCAATCAAATTAATTTCAAATTAAGTGCAGCGAGGCTGCTACCTCCGCACAAGTCAGGAGTTCAAATAAAAATAGAGGAGAAAGGCTGCATGGCAAGAAGTTAAAAAGGAGCAGGAGATCGAGGCAGAACTGCCTGAAAGGTGGCAAATAGAAGAAGTTGCCAGAGAAGCAAACGGTGGAAGTGAATAGATGGGAAAAGACTACAGGATGCAAAAAGAGAAGCTGGAGGAGGAAGGTCAGATATGAAGATGGATTTGAAATAAATGGGCAAGGGCACTGCTTGTTAAGCTAATCAGATTTATGTTTCTACCCAGAAATTCTTATGTCCTTAAGAGACCCGATCGAAGCGAGGTCTTTAATTTTCATTTTCTTGGCTTTGTCGCTTTGCACTGGGCCTTAATGTTATTTAACAGGAGTGAATGTCAACCAATTTCATTGTGAAGTCTTGACTTATTTCAAAACTGTTAAAAACAGTGGAGAACTTTTGCCTCTTGACAAATACATCCTGAAGACACAGATCAGACAAGCTAGGAAGGCTGACACCACTGAAATGATGACAGATGCAGTAGGGGCAGGGGAGGCAGCACTCCCTTCTCCTTCCCGCTCTGAAGGAAAGGAGATGAAAAAGCAGAGGATGAGCATCCAGACAAACAGATATGATGGTGCCAAGCAGTATCTACAGCACCCTGCTACAAGCTCATCCTCAGAAGCAGATGCATCTTTCATGTCTCTCTTGGCTTCCCCAAGCTGTGAAAGCTCTAAACCTGCCGGCAGGTGAGTAACGATATCGCCATGTTCGGGGCATGCAGTGCTGTAGTTTTAAGCCGTTTCATCTCATGGGCAATGCAGAAGATAAATGAGCAAGAAGGAAGACAACAGCCCAACACGAGCCATCTTGAGTGGCCTTTCAAGGGTGCTTATGAGACATTGCCCAAGTTTAGCTGAGATGAGTTTATTTTCAAGTCTTTTCCAAGTCATTCAGAGAGATCTCATTAGCTTTGGGCTTGTTGGGAAGGCCCTCTCTGTCCTGGAGAGGCTGTGTTGGGGAGCTGCTGCTCTGGCACCCAGTTGCAGGGCCAGCCTTGCTGCTGGTTGGGTGCAAGATGGACACAAGCCCTGGCTGTCAGTTTGATTCTTTCCCCCACTACTCAGTGTGAGCAGCATTTGGGATTTAAGAGACTGGTCCCAATGCCACCAAGTCCAAAAGAGCCACCAGCAGGTGCCTCCGTGCATAACTAAAACACAGAGGTGTTTGGGAGCTCTGCCAAGACCAACTGTCCCCTGTACAACTGCTCTCTTCCTCCCCAGCTCCGAACGCTGCTTTCCACCACATTTTTTCTCCTCTCAAAATGCTGCTGCATGGGTGAGTTTCCACCCCTGCTTAGGGCCATGCCACAGTCTCACTTTTCACTCTCTTCCCTATTCCCCACGAACTATAAACTGCTGCTCTTCGCTTGAAGGCTTCACAGCTTATCTTCTCTCCATCCTCATCTCTAATTCACCCTGACACATAGGGAGACCATTTGGGATAAAGCTTCAAGAGTGCATTTGATATAATTATTTCCCCCTCGTAAACGGATTACAGAAATCCTTTTATAACAGTACAAAAAGTATGAAAATGTTTAAATTATTGGTGTGGAAAAATGCTTCCTGGTGGCAGAGTTTTTTAAAAAGTTGAGGTTTAACATCACAAACATAATCCTTTCTGGTGAACATTTGCCGTCTTGTGAAAACATCTAGCTACAAATTGTGCACAGGGGCCGTGCTGTGTTAGGAACAAAGGAAAATGCTGCCTGTAAATAGCTTAGAGGACATCAGAAGACACTTCTCTCATCAGCAATCTTCTTAGCTTAATATAGCTCCTCTTTGCATAAAACATTGACATTTTTGCAATGTTTGGACCCAATGGTGCGAATGCTGATTGTCATCCTAAGATACTAAAGTGTACCTTCAAAAATCCGCAAGAACATTTTAGAGACAGTAGTTCTGCTTGCCTCCACAATGTTGTGTTTTAATATTTCATACTTATATATATTTAAATGTTAGCACCACTGGATAAATGCTAACATGCTTTTATGCTAATGCAATCACCGAAAATCCAGATAATGTTGTGTATTGGCATATACTGTTAGTGAATTATGGATACCTAAATGTACAATCCCACATGCCTAGCAATTATTTTTGTTAGTACATTTAACTTTTATTTGCAATCAGAGCACTCGAGGATTGTTCAAATGAAGTTTACTTTCGCAAACTGCTGAACGGAAAACATTTTGTTAAAGGTTTAAAAACAGTCAGGCTGTGAGGAGGTTACAGAGTTACAGTAAGGGCAGCACTTGGCAAACTCCAGCAGATGGAACAGTGTTTGACTTGGTCACACACTTGGTGATTAAGCCCAAAACGCCTCAAGTGAAGGACACACAAGAGAAACAAGAGATGAAATCCTGATTTCTTCTGTACCCTGTCACCTTCTTCCAATATCTGGACGACCAGAACATGAGACCCTCTGCCTTGAGGACCAGACTCCATGTGCTACGGCTTCTTTCAGCACCAGTCAAAGTCACTGAAGGAGAGACCCTGGGTGCCTTTGCAGGCTTGACTCTCTATCCTGACCAGCTACGTAGTCTGCTCAAGGGGCTGATGCACAGAAGACTGACGGGGCTGTGAGGACACTGCCCACCCTTTTCACAGCAGCTGCATGTAAATCCACCAGGAAATTGCTGCCTGAAGGAAGGGAAGAAACCACTGGCGTGCACCAACCTGGCTGGTTTCGCTCTAAGACATTTGGGAGGTGGCCACAAACCCGTTTGGCCATTGCCCCTTGCACACACGTGGCTCAGTTCTGATGCTCAGTTCAGTTGTCACAGACTGCCCAGAACATGCTAAAAGTCTGCATGGGCAGAAGACACCAGCCACTACACACTGCCTTGTCCTCTGCTTGAGCTCCTTCCTCCACTGACCTGCACCTCCCTGCTGCCTTGTCTTATACTAATATCTCATCTATTTACATAAATTGCCATGTCTAAAAAACACAGAGTTAAAAAAACATAGCATGTTGTGTGTAAGAGGGTAGAAGTGGATTTTGTGCTTAATATAATAATAATATAATACAATATATAATATAATAATATAATAATTTTGTGCACCATACTTAATCACTGCACAGGATGAAGAACACCTATGGGAGCATATATGGTACATGTGCATAAAAAGCAGGATCAGACACCAGCATCAGGCACGTGAGTACAGATCAGATCAGGTCCCCAGCGAGCTGTGCCACCTCTGGGCATTTACTCACTAAGTCTACGGTTTGACCAAGGCTCCTAGGAACAAGCATGCTGGAAGGAAATAACAACAGCCCCCTCCGAGGAACCCAACAGCAAACGTGTTGAGCGAAGCACTCAAAATGCCTCCGGCGGTTAAAACTGAACACAGAATAAGCTGAGGAAATGTATGAACAAACAAATTAGCAGGGTAGACAAGTTAGCATGTAGGGTTCTGTTGAATAGGAAATCTTAAGCACAGCAAGGAAAGAAACCAAGCATAATATTCCTCACATTTTGGAGCTGAGTTCTCGATAATGTATCATCTGAGCCACTCAATATTGCCATCTGTCAAAATGCCCTCTCAGAAAAAGCATCTAAAACTTTCCAAAGCAGTATTTGACTATTCTATTCAAAAAGATGCAGTCTCTGTCCAAATAGAGGCATTTGCAATTAAGTGAGAAATACTACCCCAGAGCAGTATTTTAAGGTCACTGATACAGGCTTATATCATGGGATGATGACTTATCTTGAGTCCTAATCGTGGCACATTCCCTAAGGCAGGAAAAATGTGATTTAACACTCACCTTTATTTTTCAGGTTGCCTCTAAGTGTTTCTAGAGTTTTTTTGCATTATTTTCTCTTTAGGAAACATTAAGAAAAGGCTACATGCTATCGAAGAACCCAGCAAAGCAATTACATATATTGTTGCAAATGTTAAGATATGTCAGAATATGAAGAAAGAGTCTGTGTTTCCAGTACGGCAAACTATACCTTACTGTGACCAACAAGTCAAGCTCCATTTCAAACTACGAGTGAGATGCTTTTCTGGTGTAAATCAGGGTAACTGCTGCTGTCAGAGAAGCCACATTAATTTACACATGCTGAGGCCCAACTGCATTGTATATAAGACTGCAAAAGAAACGCCGAGTTTTAGACTGTATGTTAGACTAAGTGATAAATAATTTATAACGGTGGAGAACGCGATCGTATTTTTAGGCACAGAAATAGGCAGATATAATGGCCCTAGCTCTCAATCTTCACTCTGCATATTCTGACCTTGAATTTTGGGTCTGTTCAACACCCTTCCATAGTCTCTACGCACACAAATGCGTAGCATGTACCTATGTATAAACACATACGTGCACAAAGAGCAAAACCTATAAAGGTCACAGATAAAACCCAACAGGCTGCAAGGAAAAGGTTTTTCTCGGGTTTTTCATCACCAATGAATCCATTAGAGAGGTGGAGAGAAGCACATAGCCTGCCCAGGCTCCTGTGGCTCCTCCTCCCTTTCCACCCAACCCTTGGGCTCACCTGGACAGCGCAGCTCCCAGCACGAAGGCGGCGTGTTCCTTGAGTGTGGCCTCCGTGCTGTTCAACCCATTGATCACCAGTTGAAGTCCACCCAAGGAGAGGAAGTCCTTGGCATTGTCCACCTGTGGAAGAGCAGGGGAACCCATCAGTATGAAGCTTCACACACTGCCAAAGGCCTCGCCAACTTGCCAAGACTATCCTACTTCAGAATGAGCAGCATCCCTTCTTTTTTCCCTGCTTTCCCTTCTTCTTTCCCTGGGTTCCCTTCTTCTTTCCCTGGGTTTTTAAAGCAACTCAAAACTAGCAGGGAAAGATCTTGGCTCGCCTTTCAACTCCTGCCTGCGAGCAATGCATGTCATGTTTGCAGAAACGCTGCCGGCTGACAGGTGGCTATTAGCAAATGCAGAAAGCATCCCTGAAAATTCAAATACTTTGATTAGCTATCAAAACCTCCCTTGACGCTGGTTGCAATAATTCAGGAGAACCGACAAAGTCAAAACCAAAAAAATTACCCACCAGTTCTCAGCTCTCGCCTGAGCAGACCATTACTGCGAACCCAGGGACCCGTTATGTTTTACAGATGCAAAAACAGAGCTGTAATTGTGGCGCCAGAAGTTAGAAATGTTTAAGAGCCTGTCAGCAGCAGCGGCACATCAACAGCAGCTCCCCAGCCTCTGCTCCCAGCGAGGCGCCCGGGCACTTGTCCTTAATACAGTCCACAACTTCCCAGGAACACGAGAACTAAAAGCCAGTTCCTGTTTGAAAGGGGCAGCAAGAAATGTTTCCCGAGAGCAGAATGTGCCATCAATTTTCTAAAGCAGACAACACTGGACTTACTGCCATGAGGGAAAAGCTAGTGGGAATTCCTCCAGTAAATTCATCATACTTTAACTTGAAGCAGACTCGGGGCTAACCAGACAAAATCACGGCGGACATATGTTCTTCAAGAGAACATCAGAAAAGGGCTCCAAGTGGTTTGCAAACAAAATTTGGAAAAACGGCGCAAAGTGCTTCAAGTACCCAAATGCAGTCCAAAGTCAAAGATATTCATCTTGCTCTTAAAGCATTTTTAAACATGCATAAAGGGGAATCGCTAAAGAATTGTCAAAATTGCTTGTGCGATGATTTTTTTTTATTTATTTTTTATTTTTAGAATTCCTACATTTCTCTTTCATGGAAAACACAAAGACAACAGCATATGTTGCAGATGGAAATGGAATATAAAAACGAGTATCAGCTGGGTAAAACGACCTTTCCAGTTTTAGTACACAGACTGAAGTGATGGGGTAATACAGAATAAACACCGCAAATGGTGCAGAACATGTCAGATTAACATATTCTCCAAGTTTGAACAATCTCTCTTTAAGTAAACAGTGATTTTTATGCTTAGAGTTATTTCTATCTATCATCTCAACTGCATGCCTTCCCCAAAATTGGCCACAAGTCAGATATTTAAGATGCTCGAGAGAACAAAGTAGCTACTTGGCTCCATGTCCTATGGGTCTTCAGCAAAGCATGAACTGGGGAGCTACAGAACAACTGCTGTCTGCAACGGGACAAGACTAGGACATCCGCCAGCCACTTGCTGCCCCTCTGCAAAGCCAACGATAGATCATGTGGGATCTGCAGCAGCATTTTCATCCTTTCAGCCCCTATTCTTCTGTCTTTACAAACTGGCCCTGAGATACCTCCTTGGTCTATACGGAAATCTATGCAGAAATCTAAATTAGTCTACCAGGGCTGCGTTTATGGCTCAACTTGCTTTAAAAACTCAAAGGCTGTTTTAAAACGGGGTTTAGAAGTTTTTTTCTGCTCATGATGGAAAAAAAACTCATTAGCCAACGCTGCACCATGGAGAATTTTACATGTGTCATCCACTGTGGCAGAGCTGGCCTCATCGGAAATCCTTTCCACTAGCTCTAGTTCCAGAGAGGCCTTTCTCAATTCCCGAATACAGACTGCAACAGAAAACACATTTTCCGGATTTTTTTAAATCTCAGCTTTTGTCTAATGGAGTCTGTTGCAAGAACCACTTCTCATTCATCATAAAGAAGAAGAAAACAAAACAAAACAAAAAAGCAACAAAAACAACCGAAACCCAACAAACTTTGAACCCTGAAGCTCCCTGGGGAGCAGCAACCAGCCAGCTCCACCTCTCTGTCAGCTCCAGGCAGGACACATGAGACCTGTCAACCATTGCTTGGAGTGCAGTGGGTCTCCAAAGATGGCCACGAAGCCAGCTAGGCTGCGAAAATGTTTTGGGAAGGAGGATACCACGCTTGGTGGGACAGGGTGAACCGCCAGGCCTTCCATGCAAGGCCCAACGCAGCGTGTGAGCCCTCAAGGTCCAACCATGCAGCCAACCATGTTCCTCATGCGTGACAAGCCCAGCTAGGCCGCAGCAAGCAGGAGGCAGGAATGTGCCAGCTCACAGCAAAGCAAGAGAGACTTTGGAAGGAAAAAGGAAAAAGAGAGACTTCAGGAAAGATATTCCACCTCACACACAGTCAGTTAGCCTGGTTCTGTTGATGCTCTGCAGCTTCCCATGTGCCTGAGCCTTCAGTCACTTCTGACGTCGGCCCTGATGCACAGAGACCTACCTAAGCACAGATGCCTTTCATAGAAGAATATATATATGTGCGTATATATATATACACACATAAAGCAGCCACCACTATACTCACCTAAAAATGGCAATTAAGATCCATTTTTGTAAAATAACGAGCATATAAAAGAAGAAAAAGAGAAGGGGAGGGGGAGGGCTAGGAACAGATAACACATCAGTGAATGCTAACCCGTAGGTAACTGCTCACTACTGTTAAGCGTGATGATACGTAAGAGAACTTAGACATAAAATAAGCTGGCAGGAGCCCTCTGACATCTCTTATTGACCCCAAATCATGATAGTTAAGCAACAACTTGTATTATCTGACATTAATAAAAAAATAAGACCACATTTATGATACCACATCCCCTGGATTTTACACCTGATAGTTATTATTTTATATTTACCTGATGAACGTAATATTCCAGATCATAGAGCGCTGCTACTTTTTCATCCAGCGTAGAAGCAGAGCTGTTGAATTTGCCGATTAGTTTGACCATGATCTCATAGTCTGTCTCCAGCTTCACGTTTAGCTTCTCAAACTCCTCCTTCAGCTCCTCTATGGGACGGAACTTCTTTCTCACCTCTTCCTCACGGGCCTTGGGAACGGCAGACGAAAAGCAGATGTGAAGGCAGGTGAGAAAACAGTCCTGAAGGAACGAGTCATCCCAGAAACAACCCCCAGCCCCTACATTATTCACAAGGTGAGCGCGGCTGCCTCGGCAACTGGATTTATTGCTATGCTTTGGAGATGCAGGGGCAGAGCTGGAAGGTACCTAGACTCTCCTGGGAGAAGGTGTCAGATGCAAAGTCGGAGAGGACTTCTGCTCGGGTCCCTGCTCTTGGCTGCCTGTGATGCTTCCTACCGCCTGCCCTGCCATCTCCGCTTCAGCTGAACAGCTGCTGTAGATGCCATTGCATTAACTCAGGGACACGGCACCCCGAGGTCCCACACTGCAGCAAGGAGCTTTGCAGTGTTTAGGGCAGATCCCGCCAAACGTAGTCCTAACAAGAGCAGAGCAGCCTGCTGGGCACTTCGGCACTTCTAAGCAGCCCATCAACCTAGCCGTCGGTAAAATAAAGCCCTTGGTTATCAGCGTGAACTCCCCAAGAAGCTTAGCCAGTACCTATTTGCACAGTGTTTCCACATCCTGTACGCCTTTCAAAAGGGCATAAAACACAAAAGCAGGACGCACTGCTGTGCTCAGTTTGCCTGGGAGTGGATGTTTTCACAACCTGACTGGATAGAGCTCTGAGCAACCTCCTCTGATCTTACAGACATCCCTGCTTTGAGCAGAAAGTTGGACTGGAGACTCCAGAGGTCCCTTCCAACCCTCAAATTATTTTGAGATTCAATGCCACAATGTTTAGCCCAGCCAGTGGTGACATCAATGTCTCCTCTGATGTGGGCAAAGCATCCTTCCTCATCCCAATCACTTGATACATTTCAGAATCACTTTATCTCCCACTGAAACATATGTATTTGCTATCGGGGCCAGAAGACAGAAGCTGTCAGAAGGCAAAGTTGAAGGACTAGCTACAAGACAGCGAGCGGCTGAAGCCCAGGGCCACAGGGCTCTGCTGGCACTTGGGTTGTTTTGCCGTGTTGCCTGTCGCCCTTGTACAAACAGCACCCCACGAGGCTTGACAGACCACGAGACCTTGGCAAAGGCAGACAGTGAGCAAGGAGAAGACTCTCCCAGAGATACAGGAGAGCATCAGAGGCTGCATCGCCAACAAGGATACCGGGGCAGGTGGGGAGAGGCCACACTGAAGATGAGCTGTCCCAAGGGTAGGAGAAAGAGATGTCCCTTCAGAAACTCTTCTGTCATGAACAGAAATACTCGGGGATGTTTTTAACAGGTGACCCGACGCAGATGTTCATGTACGATGCTCCTTCCTACCTAATGTACTCCAGTGACAAACACTGCCCGTTTCCAGTATGCATGGATAAAACCTGAGGACTCAAGTTATCAAACAGAAGTTAAAGCACTGCCAATCAAGTGGCAGCTGTACAATTTGCACTAATAACTACTGGGCTAATAACTGTAGGTGACACACAGGAGCACAGAACGCTATCCCCACTCCTGCCACACAAGAACTGCTTTTGCAAAAACGCACACTGCAACATGCCTGGCCTGCCTTGATTTACTTTGACGTAGTTACTTCAGTTTGTCCCCTGCAGGAGTGATTTTTAATGGAGTACTTTAGGTCCATTAGATGTAGCTGTTTTTAGCCCAGTTGCTGGGACAATAGCTATTCTAACAATTTTATTTTAAAATAAGGCTTATTTTCATGTAACAAGAGTATCACTACTTTTTGCATTTAGATGATACCCCTTTCCAAAACTCCTGCTATCAATACTGCTGGCTGCTACATAAATAATCTGGAAAATAAAACGCTGCCCAGGAGCTGGGCAGGGAAAAAAAAAAAGACTTTCTGGGACTCAAAGACCTTGACTCTTACCTCAGTTTTACTCCAGCTGAGGCAATGTCAAGGAGGAACTAAGGCTCAAGGAAATATTCTTAAGTGATAGAAGGGAAAAAGTCTGTGATCAATCTGATGGATCATCCATCATCCAATCACAAGATTGCTAGTGACTGCCACTGTCCTGGGGACCAGCTCCAAGCCTGAAAAGCACTGAAGGAGCCCAAGTATCTCATTTTATTTTAGACTGCAGGCTCTGAAACTGATTGGTCATGAGCTGACAACCACGGTTGAAGGTCTCTGTTAAACTAGTTGAGAAGGAAGCCTTACGCACAAAATTCCCTGGTGCTCTTCTCTTGCAATTTTCTGAAACGGAAAAGCATCCCAGGCTTTACGCCACTCTCGGTACCATCCCTGGCAGATTTGCCACTGACTTCAGCAGAACAAGAACAAACCCAAGAGACATCTTCCTCATCAAGACAAACCCAAGTAACAACCATATGCTCACCAATTTGCTGAGAATGGAACAGCTGATGAAATAACAGCACTCCTTTCTGCAAGCTAGTCGAGCCTAAGTCTTACTCACTGATTTGAAAGCATTCACCCAATAGCTTATGTAAATAAACTTCAACCTTTGTTTCAGCAGAGCCATTTGTTTTTCAATAGAGCACAAGACTAAACACTTAAATCTCTCTCCTGGATCCCACCGAGCCAGTGGAAGAAGGTGTAACGTCCATTGACTTGGCACCATCAGTGATTCCAAAACACAAGAGCCTTAGCTGCACAATACTTTTTGTACTTCTTCAGTCAAAGGAGAATAATGAATAGAAGATAACTTCCCAGACAAATAACCACTTTGCTGAAATTCATTCCACTTTGGGATTTTGCAGACATTTTTTGTGAACCAAGCAGCAGATGAACAAATAAATGAAAACAACGGATAAAGAGGCAACACAAAAAATGGAAAGAAAATTGGCCCATGAGTCCACAGAAGAGCTTACAAGATTTTTTTTGTATTACTAACGGAAGTCTAATCACTCTGGTACCTGAATGGAAATAACTCAGCATTGTGTTTACTGAATGCAGCTGCTTTTGGTTCACAGGTAAGGTCTGATAGTTCCCCCTTCAGCATTGATACGTCAAGGAGGAAACCTGTTGTCTGGGTGGTTATGTGGAGCTTATGTCTCTAGTTCACTGGTTCAGGTCCCACTCACTTGAGTGAAAACTAGAGAGTGTCATCGTTTGATGGCTGCCCTGTTGATAAACCGCTTATCCCAGCTCATTCCATCGCTCCAGCCCCTCTTCCACTGACAGTCCATGGGATAATTATTAGAAATAAACTCTGTGAATGCTGAGGATTTGTCTGCTATTTAAGTAATTATAGACAAAAGAATCAGCTTTCAACACAAGACCTTTAAGTTTGAAAAAAATAAAAATGACGTGAAGTTGTCCATTTTTACAGAAAAGACAGGATTAATAACAAGAGAGGTGAATGCTTCCCAAGAAATATGACCCTGGTAGAGTGGGGGAAGTATTTTAGGCCCACGTTGACCAGAAAATTGGTCTCTACAGTACTGACCCGAGTAACTTCTTTAACCAACACATTTCCAAGACACACTTCATAGGGTATTGCATTAGTATTTGTACATTGATTTAGAATTAGGGAACTCTCCTTACCATTCTTTCTGTCTTCTCACTTTCCTTCATTTTAGCCAAAGCCTTTTTGAGCTCCTGTGACGTGAATGAATTTGAGTCAATATCCATCTTGCCCAGCCTTGCAGGGGAAACAAAACCAAACGTTGTATGAGTGAACAATTTTATCTCTATTATTTTCATTGTGATACAATAACAATGGATAGTATCAGGAGGAAAGAAGCTAAAAGCACTATATTTCCAAGTATCTCATCTACAACATAAAGAAAAACTCCACGCTTGACAGAAGATTAGGCCAAATGCTGTATTTCTTGTCTGGTTGGTAGATACCTCACCCTGGCAATCATAAAAGGCTTCATAATCTGCATGCTGATCCAGAATCTCAACTCTGAACACACAATAAAAATAGCTGCTTAATTTATGCTTCTGAGTTGCATATGGGAACTAAAAAAAAATAAGGCAAGCTTTTATTCACTGGCAAAAAAAGCACCGCTGTGTCCCCAGAACAGTGCTAAGGGCTTCCAATCCTTGGGCACCCCTGGGCCCATGGATCTACAGAGACCTACAGCTGAAGTTCTTGTGATGGTCATACACAGACCAAGGAGAAATTAGACTGGAATGCTAAGCAGCACACTGTGTTGCTCTTTATATTGATCTCATTGGTTCGGAGAACTTATTTTGGCCAGCAACAGTCTTGCAAAAGCAAAAGGAAAAGCCAAAGGCTGGAGCACCTTTAGAGCCTCTCCCTACTTTGAACGCAAGGAAACTGGGGGAGAAAGGGAGGCCATGGCAGATCTCATGCACCTGGGGAAAGAAAGCTCCTGCCTTCATTGTGAATGCGCCAAGGAGAGTTCACAGCAAGTGATTTCTTTTTATTAATTAAAAAATAAACGGCACAGCGAGAGCTGTGAGATCTAAGAAGAACATCAGCAACAACTGAAGTGCAAATCAATGCTCTAAGCCCACTAACAACAGCGAGTTTAAACCTACAACAAAGCTGCCTAAGGCCAGCAGAATGAAAGCCCCCACCTCTGCCCCGGTGGCTTCAGCTCCAAGGAACACGTGTCCTTTGGAGACCCACACGGCACATTTTGCTGCCAAATCACAGCTACCAAGGTCGCTCCAAATACCTGTTCAGAGCCAGTGTGCCCAAAGGGAAAGGAAAGGATAGGGCCTGACTTTCAGAACTGCCAAACACCTACATCCGCAATTAAGCCTCTGGAAGAGATAGCAATTCTGCGCCTCTAATAAAACACCCAAAACAGTCAAAACCTGCAGTCAGTCTGGCTCTGCAGAGCAAGGCAGTGAGCACTTTCCGTTACTGTACCTTTTCTTCCTTTTCTCTTCTCTCACGTCACTTTTTCCATTTTCGCCGCCTGCGAGTTTGGCTTCTCGTTCTCCTGTCTGCAGATTTAATCGTACATGCGACCCTGCAGGAACAGCTTGACCTACAAACAAAGGTTAGATTATTTTAAGCCACAGGCATTATTTCAAGGTTCGCACACGCGCGGGGAAGTCGCGCGCTTCTCTGCAAGAAAAAGGGCCTCAAAGGCACATCAAAGCCGCCGTATTGTGAAAACAAGCCTCTTCGCCGCTGGCCACTCTTGCCTTCAGCCCTCCGGCAACGCCCCTTGGCCACTGGGGCCATTCCAACCTTCCAGAAACCGCTGATCTGCCTGAACGCTTCCTCCCCAGCCGCGCGCCCTTCCAGCCAGGCTGCTGGCTTCATTTCCGAGGCATTCACGGAAGAGAGACCTGGAGCCAGGCAGAGTTCCCATGGAGAACATGGGCTCCCATCTCCATTAAGTACTGATTTGACCTTAGGGCACCACTGCCCAAGAAACCGCTGAAAATTGTCAGTGGGAGTTGACTTAGAGGCTATGCACAAGATGAAATCAGAGCATACAGCAGGTGATCCTTCAGGCACCCTGAATACCAAGTGGACCCCTATGGCAGTGTTTTGCTTTGGAAACATATTAAAAGAGATCGTTCATCACTAAAATCCAACATCTTAACTGCATAAAAGATGGGAAATTCGGAGTGCTTATCTGGGCTATTTCTTGGAGAATGCCACAATTACACCAAAAATATGTCATGAGGGACAACTGTGACACAGGTACAGAGAGATGGCAACATTTAACTCCGCTGCTTGAGTCCACTTCTGCTCTTTCTAATCACAGAATCATTATGATTGGAAAAGACCTTCAAGAAATCTGGCTGCTTGTGAGAGCAGGGTCACAGCTGAGTGAACAGGGATATCTCAGCCGTACCCAGACAGACTCACAGCTGCTTGTGCTCCTCTCTATGAGGATTCCCTATCCAACCTTTCCTTTATCTGTTTCTTTTTAACCTAAAAAAAAAAGACGCTGAGAATAAAGTAACACAGCATGTACAAGACAGATTGCATTTCCTACCACAGGGAAATGAAGGCGAGGATGATAAAGGGTTTCTTGTAAGAAAGATGTGTTCTCATCATACCAAGTCCTCTAATCTAGGGAACTTCTGCATTGACTCCACCCATTGAAGACCAAAGGGACCTTCCACTGATCACGGGCTGCAGCACAGAGACAAGCTAAGCATGGCATTTCCGCATGCCAGCCAGGAAGCAGCGTGTATCCCTTGGCAAGCTTCCCCCCGGCGATGCTCCTGCCCCAGCAGGCTCCATCATTTGTTGTGCTTTGGAGCTTTGATCTGGGGGTCTAGAGAGGAGCGTCTTCCAGGGGAGCCTTGCAGGGACTCGCTGCGATGGCCAAGACATTCCCCTCACTGGCAACCTCGACGGAGCAGCTCTGGCTTTCGGGAACAGGATGGTAAACATTTGGTGCAAAGGACCACTGCAAAAGACCTCGTCTGTTTCAGGAGACAGCAAGACCAGGGACACCAGGCAAAAGAAAACACATAAAATACCATTATATGCATGTGTGAATATGTGAGGATGTCTTCCTCTTCCACAGGTATGAGCACCACTTAACCTAAGAGGCAGAGCGGGGAAAACTTGGTTTTCCCAAACCCGGAATGTGTGGCTTCACCCCCGGGTCGGAAACACTCAGCCAGCCACGGCTGCAGCCACTGTATTTTCTGAAGCAATTCCTGACTTTCAAATGCAGCTAGAAATAAATGTCCCTGTTAGAAGAGGACGGTATATTCTAGCTTTCATGTTCTTCGTGCATCCGGACACATTAGTTCACTCTGTTGCCAGGGGAGAGGAACGAGGCTGATGGGCTTTACTTAAAAGAAACATAAAAAGGGAAGGAAACGGAGCAGCCTCCAGTAGCCTGAACGACTCCCATGTGACCAGTTCTCCGAGCTTCTATTTTCAGCAAGCGGTAAATAAAAAGGGAACGTGAATCCCAGCGTGGAGCAGCTTACAAACGCGGCGCCGCTGAATTAAGGACGTTGCCATCCGAGAAGACCCAAATGTTTCCTCCCTCTGAGTCCTCCTACTTTCCCGAATGGAATCTGACTGAGGCTATGCCGACCCCGCGAGCAGAAAGCTCAGCGGCTCCAGCGCAGGTCCGTGCCACAGCAGGACAAACATATTGCTTTGTTAAATGAATCGGCCACGACAGCCCTGTTTCCAGGAATGAGATTTGGGCAGCCGCTTGAAATATGCAAGGCGTCTGCAACAGGATGAGGTCTCCACTCTTGTTCGGTTTCAGAGGTTTCTTAAATGCGATTCGTGAAGTGGGTTTCAGGTTGGACTGACATGAAAGATGTGATTAAAATTGCCCATTTAAATGAGCAAGCTAGAAACCCTGAATTTTCATCTTGTTTCAATATGTAGCTTCTAGACATATCCCTTAAAAATAGTTGATTCTCTTTGATTCCTATAATTTGATCCTATTCAACAGCGAGGCGCATCCACCAGATCTATACATATGTAAGCAGTTATATAGCTTCCCATTCTCTTGATATAGAATTGTATTCTTAACAGCTTTTTTTACTGTGGGATTTCATTTTTACTTATTTGTATCAAGCTGCATTTGGGAACTGAAACTCAATTTAAGAAGGCATAAACAATCCCAGATTTCAGCAATTTTAGGTCCTTTTATCTCCTTGATACATAAGGAGAATAATAGTAGGCTTATCAAAATGGTTTTGCATTGTAAGCAGAGACACTATCTGAGGCTACGGAGCTACCCTGTTACTGAATGGGAATGTTGGGATAAGGGGGTAATAATGCAAGAAATTAATAAATCCGTGTCATTTAGAATAAATAAATAAATGAATCCGAGTGCCTGCGCTTGTCCCGCACTAGCCAGAGTGGCCGATGGGCTGGTGTCACTGCCTGCACGACCCTCAGGTCGAGACTGCCAAAACTCACCCTGGGTTCGTTTCAGGCCAAATGAATAACAGGCAACAGCCAAAAATAATAGATAACATCCAACATGAAAAATATCCTCTGAGGACAGCAAAACCCTGTCGCTGCATGAGTGGCAAGGTATTCATAGGGAATGAACGCCGAAGCAAAGCTACGACACTCACTTTTAAAGCAGGAGACACCAATCCGATGGCAATGCGCTACTACGACGTTATTCTCCCTGGCAATTTGATCCCTTTATCCACCAGTCCTGGCCACGATGTTTGAGCAGCCATATGGCCCTCTGGGAAAACTGGAAAGCAGCAACACGTCAAAAACCCACGGGGTTCCCGAGGCCTCTTCACATCCCTCCAGTATGGACATACTTCGGCCGTCTTGGAAGATACTTAAAGTGACACCGAAGAAGAATTTAATTTACAGCCCTATTCTTTTAATCTTGGCCAGGCAGACTTTTTTTCCACACCTCTGTTTATTTCTTCTTATAATATATTAGCTGGAGTAACAGCCCAGGCTTCGGCTTTGAGGCACCGATTCACTCTCAGGGGTTCTGCTGACATTTATAAACTGATCCTATTCCTCTCTCGTGTTTTATGTTATCAGCTAAACCTGTCGACTTAAATTATTGCCTTGTAACCAAATCACAGTTATCTATTATTCTGCTCTGTGTACGTTGCTGAAGCTTTGCGCTGAGATCAAGTTTTGCCAGGCCTCAAAACAAAACTATAAATAAATAAGCAAATGGGAAGCTGCGCTCGCTCCTGTTACATTGATAACGATGGGAAGAGCCGGGTGCATCCGGCACGGAGCCCTCGCAGTTGAACGGCTCCGGGGCTGAACGTGTGTCGCACTGGACTGTTCAAGAAACTCTTTCCTTTTTCCAGCAGGGATCAAATGGCCATGACGTTGCCTCAATAACAGAGAAAGGTCTAATCCTACATAGCACCTTTCCAGGATGCTATTTCGTTCAGCGCTGGCCATGGTTGGTTACTGGTTTCTCAGGGACACCCGGGGCATGGCTGAGCTCCCATTTGTTATATATAACAACAGGAAGGCATCAGACTAGCAAGGGAAGCTTCACATCATGCGTATTTGTGCACAGAGCAGCTTGAACATCAGACCATCTCACGTGGAGATCATGTAATAACTCACAGTGTTGCTTGCAGGAGCTTCCCCAACTCCTACTCATGCCCGGTCCCTCTCTCAGGCCGCATTCCTGATTGCAGCCCATCATGCTGCCCAGCAAGGAATGCCCCGGGTGGATGGAAGCACCTTCAGACACCGCTCCGGCTCCTGCCGCAGCGGAGTGTCTCACTGGAAAGGCTTCTGCAGCTGGAAAAAGGAGCAATGCAGCTCCCCACGGCACAGCCCTCAGCCCAACCCCTGGCCCACCTTCTCCCCAAGCAAGTGTCCTCCTGTAGCATTGACCAAAAAACACCACCAACAATGAAAAAATCTATTAACAGCGTGAAAATCCTATTTATGAGTTAGTAACTGGCTCTCTCGGAAATAATCTTGATACCTAAGCAAGGGTCAGATAACATCTTCTTTTCTCGACTCTGTTTCCTTCAGCGCAGGAGAATGAGGGGAAAGGACTTTCTTTTTAATATAGGCAACAAAAGAAGACATGAGTCGATACGTGAATGTTCCCAGCAAAACAATCCAGCAATGGTGTGATATTAAAAATAATAAGGCTGTACGAGACTGACAGTTAAAAGCATCCTCAAGAAGTTATCTGATGACAGAGTATCTATTCCTTTAATAAAATAATGATTAAAAAAAAAGAGATACATGAATCCCAGGAAACAGAGCACACTCCTCGGTGCTGGCACAGTTGGATTCTGAAGGCTTGAGATGAGTGGAGCATCTCCATGTCCTCTGGAGCTCCAAAATGCCACAACCAACCAACCAAGCAGCAATACCAAGGTGAAGCTCCAGGCACTGAGCCCACGAGGACTCAAATCAGAAACACCTTTCGCTCTGAGTTGCACAGTGCTGGGGATGAGAGACAGCACCGGCATGGAGCCAGGGAACAACCATGAAGACAGCAAAGGGCACATTGAGCTAAGGGTGCTACAACTGCCCAGACATAAACCCAACATGTCCCCTCCTCCTCTGATGGGCTCTGTG